CAGATATCTGAAAAATAGAGTACAGTAGTATTATTGTGTGTATTTTGAAGTGTAGAGCACTGACATCCCTGCAGACAAGCCAGCAGAAAAAACTAGCTCAAATATTGTTTTTGTAATTAAATACCAGAATATACATTTCACATGTATGTGGGACCTCTGAAGCATTTTTTTATAACTAGCAGGCAAAAAAAAGCAACTTGCAAACCCCCTAGAATCACTGTATCTAGTGGCTGTGATGCGGGAATTAAAGGGGCAGAATTTGCTTAAGCCAGGAGAACAACAGGGAGGAATTTTTACATCTAAGTGTAACAAAAACACCAGGAGATGCAGCAGGTTTCCAGAGGAAGTTTCAGTATGTCCACGTAGTTACAGTACCGGACACAGGATGACGGAAAACACTGACTTTAATGACATGTTTAACTAATACATATGCAGATTCAGTTTTGTTATATAACATTTGTTTATCATAAAGATGAAATATCAACAGCGATAGATGACAAGGGGGGACATGGCCTCAGGCAGACGACTGAAGCCAACTTGACAAAAGTTCTCTTGTATAGTAAAAATAAATATTTTGATAAACGTTTCTGCCGCAGGCTGGAAGCGTGTCGGTTTACAGTGGAAGTCAGACTGGCTCCAAGCCCAGTTTGACGTGTTTATTCTGGCCCGTCCGAGTCTGAGCGAACAGCCCCCTCACACGGCAACCCCGCTTTTTGGCTGTTTGGCAAAAAGTTGAGTCCAGTTCCGCCCAATTCCAAGCAACGCGTTGCCGGAGTGTGGATTTACTGCACCGAAAGGCCGCCATTTTTCAGAGAAGCCTCCTTTATCACCACTGTGAACTCGGCGTTCTGAGTGCAGACGCGTTAATTTGAGTTTGCCACGAATGTTCTTCCCGGCATCCCCGAGTTTATTTGTTCTCTTTTCTGTCCTGTGTTATGTCTAACTACCACAGCTAAGAAAGAAAAGTGCCAGCAGTAGAGAGCATGTCAGCCCTGTGTCTATTTTCAGAAACCATTCTTTTACGACACCATTATGTTATTTTTCAATTGAAATGGCATGAAATGAGGAGAGTCTGTGTGCTGGAAAGGATGGGAATCCTGAAAAAGATGGAAGGAAAAGAGGAAGAGGCATTGCAGGCATGACAGCGATGAGCACGCTGTCGCGAGGCCAGGAGACCGGCGTGGCAGTCAGTAATAATGATCCTACTGGTCAGTAATAATGTTCCTACTGGTCAGTAATAATGATCCTACTAGTCAGTAATAATGATCCTACTAGTCAGTAATAATGACCCTACTAGTCAGTAATAATGATCCTACTGGTACTACTGCCGTTATTACTCCTAATAATAAGAATACTCATTGCAGAATGCAGGGGACACCTTCATCTATCTGCTGGGTGATGATGCGTCCTGTGGATGTTCATTCAGGAGCCTGTAAAGCACACGCTGAGTCTTGGCCGTGCCGGTGGCTTGTATAAGATCAGAGGGCGGCTCTCGGACTCACTGAGCCCTGGGAAACAGCTCCTTCCTCTCCTGGCTTCCATTTCTCTGTCTCTTGGTGACGCAGCACAGCACTAAGCCATCTGATGTACCTGGAGTTTATCATCCAGCCAGCAGCGCAATCGCCACGGACACAGGAGGCCAGCGACGGCTTGGTTTGCTTCACTGCTGCTTGGGTCTTTATACAATCCCTTGTCTTGCAGGATGTAGGTTTCCTGACCTTTGCTGACTGCCAGACAGGGACACGTTACAGTAGTCAAGTGATTCTGCAATGTACACGGAATACAAATAGAATTAATTTATTAACATTATACAGGAAGAAGTACAACTGAAATTTCATTCTTAGCATGTCCCATATTACCCTCCTGAGATGCACACAGACATACAGGTGAGAGAAAAGCTTGGGGTCAGACATTTATCCATCACCCCTGGAACAGTCGGGATTAAGGGCCTTGCTCCAGGGCCCAGCAGTGATGTGATTAATCTGCCAGTCACAGGATTTGAACCAGTAACCTTCTGGGTCCTAACCCACACACTCGCACACTGGCGAGCTTTGGTGATGTGAAATATCAATAGATTTGCTTCAGACACACCTTTCTGTCTGTAGGACAGAGTAATGGGAGTGGCTGAGAGGGAACCTCGCAGTGGTACACAGCCTCTTCCTGTCAGGCTGCAGCGTCGGGGTCTGGCCGCTGGGGTCCTCAACGGCTTTATCGTGGTCGCCCAGGTGTTTGCATAGGGGACCGTGGTCAGCCCCAGTCCATCAGCCAAAACCAGCCACTCTGGCCCGGTGAACCCCCTCCAGTCGGGCCCTGCTTCTCCCCTCGTCGCCTCACCCCCGACCTCAGCTGTCGCAAACCAGTTACAGCAGATCCACTCCTTTTTCCGGAAAGGCCCGATTCCACCCTGGATATCGGCGTCGGGTGTGCTCCTGAGTGCCGGGATGTTTACATTACGCTGAGTGGTTCCGGCCCGTCGAGGATGTGTCAGGCTTCACTGTTCCTGCATGCATCCCGCTGCTGTGCCGCTATTTCTCTGCACATGTTCGCGGGACTTTGGAAGCATTTCTGGTCCATATATGGGAATGAAACTGACCTGGACAGCACAGACTGGTCTGAAGTTTAGAGAGAATGAACAGCTTTTGAGGTGTGCTGTTGTTTTCCCATTTACTTGAACTGGTTTGTATTGGGGCATCTTGTGTTGCTTATTAGAGTGGTGTCACAAATCTGGACTGTCTAGTTGTGGGATATCAGTCTTTCTTTTCTCCCTGCCTTTATTCCTTTATGCATTGATATTAAGAAGGAATGACATTCCACAGGATCCTCTGTTGTTCAGAGGCCTGTGGTTATTGACAAAAAAGTGATGAATGTTATTGCTGCAGTTTGGTAGAGCGTCTCTCTACCACAACTTTTCCAGACTTCCTGTCAATGCAGCCAAAGCATACGATGGGATTTTCTGCACAAACCTTCCTGAGAGGCAGACCTTGGCCCTGGCTTTCAAGTGCGGATGAGAATTAGCTCTGTGTCAGTGGTTCGTGTCACATTGAATTACACCACATTGTTGTGAATTAGTCTCAGTGCCGCAAGGCTGGGGCTGAGCCCACTGCCACAGTGAAGGGACACACTCGGGCCGGTCCATGATCACGCATCAGATGGGTAGTGGTCACATGCTACAACAGAAGGGAATTGAAACACGGCGGAAGTTCAGGTTTGAGTGCCGCTGCCCATGTCCTTTGGACGCTGCACGTAGATAATTCATTTCAAGAGTAAGTGTTTATAGCAGGGGTGTCCTTTCAAGGCATTAACACAGAGCATCAGAAGTGATGTCCGGTCACAGCTAAAAGCTGAGCTTCCACTAAAATACTCAGGTAATGTATGCAGCCGCTGAGATATTAAATAAAAGAATTCTTTTTGCATGTAGGTCCCCGGTGTAGGAAAAGCATTAAACAGCAGGATCAGCTTCGCAAGCAGGTGTCACTGTTGTTATCTGTGGCTCCGGGATTCATACTTTTGCAGGTTCTGCGGCCACAGTGAGTGGGAGTCACACAGACGGCTGTGTGCAGTGAGGCCACAAGCCGGGCTCATTGCATAAGAATATTATGGGACGTGTTTCGGTCGCCCTGAGAAAATCTACGCAGGAATAGCCACAGAATGACGTAAGACTCGGCGAGAGAGTGAAAGGAGGAGAGGAGGCTGGGAGTGACCTCTGTCCGCGTTCCCTGTCCACAGAATCGTGATCGACGGCTGAAACCCAGCTGAGGCCGTGTGGGAGGGAACGCGAACCCAAAAGGCCCAGAGAGCGCAGAGACTGAGGCGTTTCTTCTTCTGTCCTTAAAGCTTGACGCTTGTTTATTTTTCTCCCTCCCCCAAGCTGAGGCGCCCTAGCACTGGATCTTTCTCCAGGGAGACGCGTCGGTGCTGTTGGGGACTCCACTGCTTTGCAGTTGTTTACTTTTGGTATTGAGTGTCTGCCTGCTTCTATCATGGGTTTGGGGGGGGGGGGCTGTGTCTGTTCATAATTGATCAGGGGGGGTAGCCACTTTCCCCAAGGGTTACGACGTGGTAGCTCCCCTTTGTTTGCTTGGGTGCCCCAGCGTGGCAGTTCAAACAGCTCTGCCAGCCGTATTATGCACATCCTGTCAAAGCAGCGGTTGTCATGGATACTGGGCTGCGCCATAAGGAAACAAACCCCCTCGATTCTTACAGAAAGTGTCTGACTGCCTTGAGTGTTTTTATCTCCTGCGAAGAAACAGCAGCGTCCTTCGTTTTCTTGTTGCGATTCTGTGCATCCATAGCTTTCGGGAGTCTGGCCACAGGACTTGTTTTCACAGCTGGCAGTGCGAGCGCAGCTCCGTGACCGATAGGGTCACCAGGCCCTGAGTCATTCCCAGACAGCCAAACTCAGATATTAACTCAGAGGTACCCAAACTGAAAGTTTATGTAAGTCACTTAGAATTAATGAGCAGGAATATTAAAACATCGTTTTGGTATTACTTACTAGAACATTTCTGGTAATTAAATGTAATTAAAGTTTGTTCCCATTTTTTATCCCGCTTGAATCAAATGCTGTGCAGAAGGTGACTGGTGATGTGAAGGTGAATGGTGATGTGTAATGTTTTAGCGGACGCTGGTGGTAAGGAGCCGTTTTGGGGGCTTGTGGGTTTAGTATGTAAACACCAGTGGGCGCCTCTCCCTGTGGGGGGGGCAGTTTTAAAGGTCAGCCTTAAATGTGCCGAAATCCCCGCCACTCCTGAGGGTGCCTGTTAGCGGAGCAGCGCCCCCCCGTGTCTGGCCACATGTTCACACCGGCGCTTCAAACGCTCTGCCATTCGTTGGCGTTCAGACCTTCGTCTCCATCCAAACTGAGGAAAGCTGTTTTCGGTCTCCTTGCCTTTTTTTGGCTGCCTGATGTGACGTTCTTTGTTGTTGGCTTTTCCCCTCCCAGACGGCGAGGAGGCGCAGGTGCGCTTCAGCTGAGTCAGTGTGTTTTTCTTGCCCCCCAGGTGCCTCAAGCAGCCGAGCGCCTCCTCCCACCGCATCGGGCTTCCAGCCCAAAGGCTTCCCAGAACAGCGAGCAGCAGCGTCTGCGGCAGGTGAGCGGCCTCTCCGCCGGCTCATGCCAGCTCCTGCCACCCCCAGCTATTTCCTGAGGCCCACGGCCGTGTTTGATTTGGCCGCTCCGCCTCCGAGTTATCCACCGCTGAACACAGCCACTGTGTTCTTGAGAAGTGAACCCTGAAAGGCCGCTCCCTATTTTAGGAAGACCCCGCCAGTAAAAGAAACAAAGGATTTTCATCTGGGAGCCTCCCTTCTCCAACACAATCAGCGTCCTCATTGGCTGGGGCGGCAGGGCTTCCTGCGTATCAGCCAAGCAGTGGCCTGCCACTCCTTGGCCCCGCCCCTTGGCCCCGATTTGGGGTCATTCTCTGTTGGGTGATGCCCTTTGGAGCTGAGAAGCCAGAGGCTGATGTACCTGTGTCTGGCTGCCTGCGTACTTGCGGTATGTCTCCATGCCCATATGATTGGCATCTTTCCTCAAGGTCAGGGGGTCATAATTCATACACCTATCTGATAATTAGTAAATGACATGTTTTCAATCGGGGAGTGACAGGGGAGGGTGCACTCCAGGGGTCCCTCCATACATCCCCACTCAAGGTTAACCATTTGGCCATATGCGTCAACTTGAGACTTCAGCTATACTCCTTCAGGTATAGCTGTGAAATGAGAGCAGCGGTGAAATAATTAGCATTAAGGGTCTGTGGTGCCTTAATATGTACACATGTTTTTTTTCCCTCTCCTGACAATTTTGTCTATTTTGGTCTGTAACTCACCCTACTTCTCAAAGGCGGGTTGTTTTTATAATGTGAGTTATTAAACAGGAAATAGAGACTTCTGAAGCCTGGAATGTCCCACGTCACCCCTCCAATGTCTGTGACCTCCACCACGCCAGCGGAGGCACCAGACAGAGGGTGTCTGGTGATTAGGCCATACGGCCAGGCATGTACAAGACTGTGTGCCTTCATTTATGTGCCTCTGAGATCATCTCTGAGGTTCACCATTAAACGAGTCGTGTGCCGCGTGTAGCGTGATGCTCTTCAGAGGGGTGATTTATTCGGCTGGTTACCAGCCAGGCTGCGCCTTGCTGCGTGGTTCAGGTCAGTCGCAGTCATCATCCAACCCTCTCTGCGCACCATGCGCACACAGTCGTCCCATGAGTCCCTGGAAGAGGGTTTTTTTGGTAAAAATATATTCAATTTAATAAGAATAAAAAGAGATATAAGAATAAAAATGAAACACATGGTGTGGACTTAGTCGCTGTCACCTTCCACGACTCGCCCCTCTGTGATCTTGTAACGTTATTTTTTTAAGCTGAATTCCACTCTAAATGGGACACACAGTGAAATTCATCGTACTGTGATTACTCTCCACTTTCATAGAAGTGCCACGACCATGAACCGCGTCATTTCCCATGAGGCCCAGGAACTGGTAAACTCAGCTTTGCCTTCTGGGACCTAGCAAAGAGCTTCGGGGGCAGGCCAGTGGATGGCGATCATGTGGAGGCCGGACCTGCCTTTGCACGCGATTACTCCTCCGATCTCTGTTCTGTGTTAAACTTACACACAGTTACTTCATGTGCGAATTTCAGTTTGTGGATATTTCGTCAGATGGTTCCCATGATCTGTGTCCACCCTTCAGTGTATGAAATCTGCCTCAGTGGGCCTGGGAGGGTGAAGGGGGGGATTTTCCTGGGCGGGCTTAATGCTTGCTGCTGGCATGAATTGCTGCAGCGGCCGTAGGTCAGTTAATATTCACCGAGTGTTTGCTTCCAGTAATTTCCGTGACCTTCCATTAAAAATCACAAGATGCATGTAATTATGCTGCTAATTAAAAGTTTACCAGTTAAACTTCAGTCATGTCACTTTGCTGTGCATTAGAAGGATACTCACTTTTATCAGGTCTTTTCATTAAGCCTTTTCTTTATTTTAAAGCTAGCATGTCTATTTTACGCCGTCCTTGACAAGCCCTCACACTCCCTCTGAATGGTATATAAGGGAGAAAAGGCCTTTAATCACTTCTAAAATGAATCGTTTTACCTTGTTTCTTGAGTCATCTTTTATTATATATTTCAATTTATTTGATCACATTTACTAATGTCTCCATTGTGGCGGCGTCTCTGCATGTGCTGAGGGCTTCATCATGGCAGATATGGCCTCACCTAAAGAGAGCTGCTCTTCACTTTTGGCAGAATGTACAGTGCAGAGCATCACCTGCGCGGCAGGGGCAGGTCCCCATGAGCTGGTCAGTGGAAACAGCAGGGGGCCCACAGAGATGAAGCGGACCTACCTGCTTTATAGTGTGGGATAGGATCTCTGCCCGTCCGGCCTTTACGTATCGGCCTTAGCCAGCTAAGTAAATGATCAATGCCAGAATGTAATTAATGAAAATGGGTCTGATGGAATCTAACACTGTGTATCTTCAATCTTTTGACTGTCCAAACTGGCAGTTTAAACTGGCACCTGTGGGTGAGATGTGGACCACAGCCCCTCCAGAACTCCTTTGCTTGGTTAGTCCAGTCCAGCTCTGGATGGAGGAGGTGATTTTTGTGATTCTGCTGCCCCAGAATGTGACACCAAGGTCAAGCTGCCGTCTGTCTCACTCATCATCTGGGGACATCAGGGCGCTCCTTCTCTCTCTGTCCCTGGAAGTGAAATTTTATACCTACAAACATTGGCAGCTCCACCTCCCGGCCCGTCTGTCCGCTCTCCTGTGATTTCGCTAAATTCTCCGGTACTCTTTGCAGTGAGCGATGTGCTTTTCACACAACACCTCTCCCCAGTCAAATCCAGACATCAGCCTTCATCGGTAGTAAGAGCTTGAGGGATAAATCAAACCATTTCAGACCACTCATTTAACATAAATGTAAGTCACTTTGCTGACAACTTCACCAGGACCCCCTCCCACAAAGATTTACCTGTCTTATAATGTCACCTGAAACCACTCGCCGCAGTGCCACTCTTCTTTCTGATAATGCCACCGCAAACCCTTCACCCAGCATCAGTCACCTGTCTCACAGCATGACTGGGAACCTCTCCGCCAGCATCAGTCACCTGTCTCACAGCATCACTGGAAACCCCTCCCCCTGCATCAGTCACCTGTCTCACAGCATCACTGGGAACCCCTCCTCTGATCCCGAAGTCCCTGCCCTGCTCTGAGTGCTGGGCCATGTCTACATGCCAAGCAGGGGGCTCCCCCTCCAAGCCTGATTAAATAACTCGTGACTGAGTAGCCAGTCAGCTTAAGACACTTGTTTCATTGTGCGCATTTCATATTTCTTATTATAGCAGGTGAGAATACCACTGTCTCTTCCTCACGTTTTCCATAATATAATTAATGTCTCCGGCAATCCACTCAGCTTTTCCGCACGTCGGATATCCCGAAGAAGCTCATTAAGCCATTCGCCATCATCTTTTTTTTCATTTGCTGATGGGCATTTCTCACATTACAAGGGGGGATTGTTCTCGGAGTATCAGAGCAGGAGCCGGCGGCTGTGTGCCAAAAAGCCTGTCCATTGATTGCGAATGTTTTCGCCCGTAAACATTTATTAATGCCACATCTTCCCACTACAGTCGCATCCGTGGAGAACGACAACAATCCACGATTCAGCCTTCGTCTCTGCTTCCTCCACACAGCTGTCAATCAAGTCGCTGCAGGCCCACCATTGGTGTGTGTGGGGGGGTCCAATTCAGCAATTATCATGTCATATACTTGAAAATGTAAATGAGTGAGTGTGTAAAATTAAATTTATGGGTTGTCAGTGAAGAAAAAGAATGAGGAGTGCAATTACATATCCTCTTTCATCTTTTCAAGGCAGAAAAGCATGCAGTTAAATGCTGGAATTAGCACTTTCCGGGTGTCGCAATTAAAGGCCCAGAGCAACTATCTGCCATTTCTGCTTTGTCTGTGTCTGTATGTGTCTGTGTGTGTGTGTGTGTGTGTGTGTGTGTGTGTGTGTGTTCGCGCATGCAGACAAGCAAGGAGATACAATTATTGTCCAACGCGCTGCTGAAAAGCTTTCGAAAGCACAAAAGACGTGTGTCACTTTTGTGTGGGGCATTCTGTTCTTCGACTGGGCCAGCCTCCCTTGGCCTGAAACTAATATTATTCCGAGCACTTTTGAAGTTCTGCTCCCAACGTGAGTGCCGGATTTGCACGGGTGGCTCACCTGCGGTCTGTCCGACTGCTAGATTACAGCCTGAAGTTATAGGTGTGAGGTTTACCCTTGTGCTGTAGCTGGGTATTAAAATGATGTGGAAACCTGTTCAGAGACCAGCTATGCTGCCAGGGTCCCCAACCTGGGGATTTGAACCAGCAACGTTCTGATCACAGGCTCAGTAACCTAACCTGCTGGGACACACACTGCTCCCCAACGCCTTTCTACAAATCTGAGAGAATAAAAGTTTCATTAAAAGTTTCCGTATGATGTACAGAAGTCCATTAAATAGACCAGGCAGCCTTAGAAGAACAGGGGGCCTGGTAGTATTTCATAGTGATGAAGGGTGATGGGTGCAGCACCTGGTCAGATGTACAGAATCTGAATGCTGCTATTAACCTGTAACAGATTGTTTATAATTGCAGATAAAAATAGGCATAACACAATACCACATGCAACAACTACTGAAAATGAATAAGTATTTCATATGAAGATGGTAATAAGTAGGTGAACAGAAACATGAGTAAAGTACGATGGTGAAACATGCAGATACATTCTAAAATATTGCACATAAAAATAGAGCTGTCGCAATTATTCAATTAAACTCGAATTACTCCATTATTAAGAAGCACTCCATTATTAAAATTTTCCTTCTTGTTTTCTCGCCAGTGTAGTAGAAGGAAGACAGCACAATGCAGGGTGAGGGACCAGATAAAGAGCGAAAGCATCATTTTTTTTAAAGTAATTCATATTATATGTGAATTTGAATGTAGTTGTCTGTCAGTATTCTAAAGCTGAGCTTAAATATCACCACAGAGAAAAAAATGAGCAGACCTCAGTTACATTCAGTGCATTAGTGAATGCCTTTTTGTTCCCATCTCTATATTTCTGCATCAGAAAATTTGATCGATAACCAATATATACGCTTGTCCAGTATCCCCGGTGTCGGCAGTGAAACTTGCCAGTGCTTAAAATAAAGATCAATCTGCTGGCCAGGATTAATCATGAATTATAAACATGTCGTGGGTCATATAAATAAAATCGAAATAAAAGGCTGTGTCCTGTTTTGGTCACGATAGATCCCCAATAACACCCTATATTGTGCTGGCATGGGGTGCAGTTTTGTATGAAATTACATGTGACATTTAACCTACAAGCTTCTTGTGTCACTCCTGCTTATTTAATATAAAGGTTATAGTTCCAGTAGTGTGGTGGGAAAAGGATACATGAAAGTGACCAGGAACTACAAAAATTCCCGGTCAAGATGGCCCAGGAACTCGGAACATGGACCTAGGTTCCTGAACCTCAGAGGGAAATCTAATGTTAACTAATATAATACTTTACTTGACGGGGCACAAATAATATGGTATTATGCTATTAGTTATATATTAATTAACCACAACCTATGTCTGTTACATACTGATCTCATGTTAATTCATCATTAATAAATTGTGACGCATGTTTTATCTCAAACATATCTCAAATATTTGTTACTATATCTGTTGATTCTGTAAACCTTTGTGAACTACTGAAGGAACAAGTAATGAATAACACAAGGGGAATCCTGATCTCATGTTTGTTCATCATTAATGAATCCTGATGCATCTTTTCTCATCTTTTTCATGATTTTTTTCATGATTTGCACTTCTGTAGTAACTTAGTTATTACTAAGTATTTGTGCCCCTTCAAGTAAAGTTTTACCACTAATATTAATATTTTTTCAATTATAGATTAATATGACTCCCGGAAGACATCAAAGGTAGGCCTGAAGTTGTTCTTTTTTGCAGTAGTCAGCGAGCCTATCAGAGCACATAGATGGCTGCGGAGGCCGGGAAAGAAACAGTCTCCCACTGAAATTCAATCAGTTTGTTAAAGAATTTAAATAAAACTTTTCTTTGTTGGAGTTTGATTTCAGAACTTTATAGTGTCTATGGACTATAACTACATTGCAGATTTGTTATGGCTTGGGCTTGGCCGCCCATTACAAATCGTCCTCCACGTTCATTGTCCCTACATCTGCTGAGAGGTGCTTGTTCAGATCCTCTAAATAGTGTCTTGTTGTAGTAACGGAAGAGAGTGGACTAGTTTAAGTCTTATGGTTTAAGTCCAAAGCAGGCCAACATATAGCAGAACACTTTTGTGTTTGTATGTACTGTAAGTGCTGTTAAGCTGCATTGGACTGTGTGGCCCCCTCACCTTTATTCTGGTCCAACTGCAGTGTCATTTCTGGCTTCACCACTGGTGTGCACCCTGCAATGTGTGCGATTTGTGGGATGCATATCCAGGGCACGAAGCTCCCGTTCCACCACATCCCAAAGATGCTCTATTGGGTTGAGATCTGGTGACTGTGGGGGCCATTTTAGTACAGT